ACCACTCCAGTCCAGTAAATGGGGTGGGAAGGGTGGACTTTCCTCTTTGGGCTGAATGAGATATCTGAGAACTGTTCATTACAAGTCTCTCAATTCTTTACTTCTGGATTTGCAATGAATTTGAGCAACATTTATATTAACAGACAAGATAGGGTCATGAGTACATAGTACATTGAAAACTAGCTTAAAAGGTATAACCATCATTAGGGGCTCAGTTCCCAAAGTCTGGAGATGGAAGCAAAGGGAAACTTGGCTTCTAGTATAAGGGTGTAAGACCGAAAGAATTAAGGCATAATTCTATGCATGCAAAGACAGAAAAAGTCTGATGGGCAGAGGAGTGCTAGAAAATGTAGGACCTTCTTCTGTATAAACATGCATAGGATCGTGTCCTTACTCAGTTTAGAAAGAAAAAATTATTTCTTCAAGTTCAGAAATACTTTAAGGCAAATTTTTGAGTTGGGGAAGTTATATACATAGAAATGTAGCTAATCCACATAAAGATAAACATTGCATTAGCAAGCATGTCTCTATACAGCCCATTTATTTATTTCTTAAAACATTATCATAGGTAATAAACATGTTTTCTTTACAAGTAGTGGTAGTTCAGAGCTGGATTGTTGTAATGTGCCATCAAGTTGTCACCAACTTAGGGTGATACAGAGCTGGATACCCTGGGAGAAATGTTCACTTTTTGATGACAAGCAGTTCTTGCCCATAAGAATTTTTCTATGCCATGTTCATCTGAGATCTCCATAGCCGTATGGTTTTACCTGCAGAGATACTCTTGGGACATTTTGTGCAGTGCAAGTGGGATAGACCATAAACTGCAATGTCCTCCTTTAGAGTTCTCTCCTTTCAGCTAGCATGCCATCACAGATCTCCAGTGACATCTACTCTCGTCTTTGGCACTGTCCCATTACAACTAAATATAACAAGCTACTAATACAGAAAATAGGCAACATGCTGTACCATTTGCTTCCCTTAAGAAAATGTTTTAGCAACAACAGCTTTAATGGTTTACTGTTGTTTTCTCTACTGTTTTCCATCATTCTTCAATCATAGAGGGAAATGTTCAAATTTGGAGACCAAAGAGTCCTGTTGTGGCATACGGGCAAATAGTATCAAGAAAAACAGCAAACCACTTTTTAAGTATGAGCAGACAGTCTTCTGAATCACTGTTTCCTCATAATGTAGATTCTAAGCCCAGGAATTATTTTCAGTGTGCCATTGATACCAACAATGTTATAAAAAGAAATGTCACATAAAGCAGCATGTATTTCCTTCCTTGCCAAACATCTGATATGCAGCAGTAGGCTGCTGCGAGTGTTGTTAATTAGTGGATCTTACTATTATAATAAATATAAGAAAAGTATTCCCTAATGAATGAACATGTCAGTCTCTCTATCCTTCCTTATATGTGAATATAAAAATAATCTTAGTAAAGTCTTTTTAAAAGTTCAGTTAAATCTTAAGGGTATCTTTTGTCATTCTAAACTCTGATACACTTACACAAAGGGAACAAAATTTAGCACAACCAGAAAGAACAGAAGATACAGAAGAGAAGCTACCAGTGGAATGTTACATCCCCAAGATCTGGAGGGTTGCAGGACCCTTCTGAGCATATGAAGGCAAAATCAGAGGGGGAACTATCTATTCACATAGGATTCTGGATCCAAACCCAAGTGAATTTTGAATCTATATCAGTGATTTGCCAATTTAGCTACAATATAGACTATGTTCAATGAAATAAGATTTAACAGCTGGATTCAGTTTTATAGATAAAGAAACAATTTTGAAAAGCATATATAAATTAAGGATTTGTGAAGAGTATCTGACAGGTTTGAAACTTCCAATCAAAGCAAAGATTTGGCCATCCAGCTTTACCTAAAGTGAAACTTTGCAGTCTAAAAAATGCTGCAACATCACCCTAAAATCAACCAAAATGAAGATATCGTCCTACTCGATATTTACCTATCCCTAATCATTCCTTCACTCATACTACTTCATGAGTGATTTCCCTACTCCTTTGTTTTTATTCATGTAGCTATTAACCACAAACAAGTAAGCTGAGACTAAATGGATCAGTCATACTGAATGCAAATCTTAAGTACCAAGCCTACAATACTAATATGAATGATCTATTAATAGCAAGCAAATGTACTCCAGGATACACTGCAAGTTATCCGATGGCGGCAAAAAAAGTTGAGAGGGAATATGCCTGAGGGATATTGGACAATTGCCTTACATGAAAGAGCTCTTGGTAAATCAGCAGACTTAAGGATTCAAACAGCCTATGCACAAAGTCCAGAACTGCCTATGTTTCATAGATGACATTTCTAGTTCTGCTGAACCTGTATCCTTGAAGTCCAGCTTAATTCTCCTGCTACTCCCCTTGGCTCTTCACATTCAACAATTAAAGACTTAAAGGCAGCATACAGACATTCCTGTCAGGTTCTGCTTCTGATATTGTTTAAACATTAAGCAATTTCATGCCAATTTTCCAGCACTGGAGATATATCTACATAATGAGAAACATCATGACTGGCCTCCCTCTTTTTACATGGATTTTGCATACAGTGTCTACAACTGAAACACTTCTGAACTATCTTTTATAATCTATGCTAACAAGACAAGTAACAGATAAAGAGTGAGTTCCTAATGGCTCTAATTCTCCAAGAGATTATTAAAATCCATAGCCTGTATTATAATAATCAAACAGCTGGCTTCAACCTCAAAAGCCTTATGTACTGCGCATATAGTACATAAGACCTGTCATACTATACATACATAATTATGGATACAAGACCTGTTCTTCTATATACATCAGGGATTTCCACTTAAAGAAGTGAAACACACCAGTGAATAGTTATCAAGTTTTGGCACAGCAGAAACAAGTTGGCAACTGAAATGTTCTCCTGAAGAAACACAATTAACTTTGGTAAGCAATCAAATGCTTAGCACTTTGATGCTAAGACTGCTTTGGAAGCAAACAATGGTCCAATTGCTTTTTCTAGATGTAATTAACACAGTCCTCAAGATATAGGTCATAATTTGTAAAACTCTGCAACTCCACTGAAGACAGCTCAACAAAGAAAATTAAATCCTTTAAACCTTATCTTGAAGCACTCAACACCCTTAGTACCTTGTGTTTGGAAAAGCCCTGTTATTAAGGGTATTTCCTCAGCTCAAATACCTTGGTTCATATCATGAAGCTCACAGGATGTCATGGTGACCTGGTTCACCTGTCCTCTTGATCCTGGGTTTATTGCATATGAGAAGCATGGCCATGCATGTGGTCCAACTATTATCAGTGGTTAATCCTTTGACACATTATTTAGCACGATGTAAGAACCCTGAACTCTGACTTGTCTCTCCCTCAATAAGCCAGAGAAATAATCCAACAACAGACCATGGTTTATTTCTCTGGCTTGTTGTGGGAGATTCAAAGCAGAAGCCCAGGTTCACAGGCCACAGTAAGGTTCTTTAGTCACTTCAACTTGCAACAGAGGTAGCATTTAAAGCACACTGCTTGTACACAATAAACCAGGAACAGAGAGGAAACCTGGATTATCATGATGTGCAAAACTGTTCCCTGCCATGAGATTGCTGATTCCCAGTGGTTTCCAAATGTTTCAGAGGTGTGTAATGGAGACCCCAAACTTCAGAACACTTTTTCCTTTTGAAATTTTGATCCAGTCACCCATGCTTGGTTTCAGAACTTGGCTACTTATTTATAAGCATTTATAGACTGCCTTATCACCTAAAAAGGCATCAAGAGAGGGAAAGATGCTAGCAAAGAGCCCTGCTAGGATCTGATATGGAAGCCCCTTCTGCCTCCACTTCCAGGTTTACTGGAGTTAGCTGTGGTGTTGTGAGGGGAAGCATTCTGCTCAAAGGCACTCTTTTACTCTCCACATTCTGGAACTTGAAAGCTGGTAATTGCAATGTTTGTTCTGCCAGATCGTGTTGGATTAGGACCAGGGAAGCCTGGGTTCAAATCTCTGCTCAGCCATTTCATTCACTGGACATTAAGCTAATCACCAGCTGAGTTCAGACAACTGTGGGGAAAAGAAGCTACAGTGGCTTCTTGTCCTTGCCCCTGTATATGCACCATGCAATTTGTCTAATTACCCTTGCAGTGTATGATTTACCATGTCATCCAAACCCAGCAAGCTGTGCAGTCGGGTGGCTTCAAAACTTCCCTGGAATCTTACAAACGATGAGTTCTGGAATGGATTCAAAGCCACCTTGCAGATTCAGACAACACAGTAAGCTGTGCATCACATGAATAATTAGGTAAACGGCATGGTCCATACTTGGCATATGAAGGGTTGGGAAAAGAGGCTATCCCTAGCTTCCCCATGATCATCCTAACCCAACCACTACATCTTAGCCTAAGCAACCTCTCAAAGCTGTTGTGAGAACATAGGTAGAAAGAAAAGGATAATGCTTAAAGCCCCGAGCTCATTGGAAGATGAGTGGGACAAAATGGTAATAAATGATTCGCGTGTGCACAGGCGCGCGCACGCGGTAGGGGACACATTTTAAAGAAGCCACTGAGACTCCCAACTGTCCCTAGCATTCAGAGCGCCAGAGAGGTCGCACAGCTAGCCTGCTTCCGCAGAAGGGGCACCAGTGTCCTGCGAGGCACCTTATCAAGTTTGGTATGCGCTTGCATAGGCGGTAGCCTACTATTACTTCAGCGGATCGAAAGCTCATGCCACGATAAAGTTACTAACCTTTAAATACTCAGCCTGGGAATAAAGTTTAAGGTGCCATCCAGGGCTCGTTACAGATGAGCCCTGCCAATCAAAAGCAGCCTGTGGGCTGCACCTTGGGTCAGCTGCAGCCCTGCCTGCCCCGGTTCCCCGGCTCCTTTCAGCGCGGGAGAAGCCAAGCTATTCCTCGAAAGCCAGCACTAACGCGCTTGGGGGTCAAGCCGCCCGCTCACCCGCCCCTCCTTCGGCCTGCTTCTCCCTTCGCTTCCCACCTCCTCTCACCTCCTGCAGAAGGTCGTCCACCTGAGGCTGCAGCACGGCGAGCAAAGGCTCGGCGCCGAGCTGATCTCCCGGGCTCCAAGCGCGGCTGGCCAACTCCTCCTCAAGGGCCACCAGACGGCCCTGCAGCTTGGAGGTCTTGGCGCTTAGCAGAAAGCAGGCTCCCACCGAGAGCAGCGAGAAGAGCAGCGAGAGGATGACGGGGGCCCTGCTTGCGCCTCCGACGCACTGGCAGCCGCCTGGGGGCGAAGCCGCTGGCGCCTTCTTCTCCCGAGGTTCACTCATTGCGCGCGCGCGCTCACCGCAAGGGGAAGCCGCCGCCGCCGCCGCCGCCGCTGCAAGCGCTCAGGTTTGCCCCTAGGGAGCGAGGGAGCAGCGGTTCCTGCGGCACTCTCGCCCTCCTTCTCGCTCCGGACGCGCTCAGCAGCCGCGGCGGTCACAGCTCTTGGCAGCCGGCTGGTGAGAAAGTGGAGCAGGAAGTTTGGGAAGCGTGGCCTCTTTCCCTAGCATGGCCCTCCAGCTGCGCGGGGCGGGGGCGGAGGGGGTAGGTGGGTGACCGACTGAGTGACTCTCCCCCTCAACCGCTTTAGCGCTGGCGAAGCGGGGACGCTCGCCGCCCAGCGCTCTCCCTCCCCGGGGATTCCTAAATGGATCACCTCCCCTCGCAAGCCCTCCTCAGTCTCCGCCCAGTGCACGCTGGATCCATGCAAAGAGCCCCCGCTAAAAAAGGAGAAGGGCGCTTCCAGGGTTGAGGGGCATCCGAAGCGAGGGTATTCCTCGTCGCCGCTGTTGTGGAGCTGTAGGTGCGGAAGGATCCTTCATGTCTGCCGCACTCTTTAAAGGCGGGAGGGGGGTGCTGCCGCCGTTCAGTCTCTTACACGCCCCGTGACTGAAGTCGCGGGGACTTCTGCCTGGTGCAGCACACACGGCTGTGAGGCGATGATTTGCGTGCGGCGCTGTACTTTGCGCTAAGGCTGTCAGTCGGGAACGCGCGCTGTTGGGAGCCAGTCTCATTGAACTCTATGGCCCATACTTCTGAGTAGACCTGCATAGGCTTGCGCTGTAAAGGGCAAAGGGGCAGAAAATCCCGAGAGACCTCGCCCCAAAAAAAGCCCTAGAACTTTCGGCAACTTTTTTTAAACATGTGTTTTATTATCTATTTATTATGGAGACTGCACAGGCTGTCTTACGAAGAGTAAGTCAGAGATTACAGTTAAAAGCATACACATCCCATACTAAAAGTAGCCAAACTAAAGAGCGCAGTGGCCTGCTGTATTCTCACCGCCCTGACTAGATGCCCTAGGCATATCGTTTGCGAAAGCAAGTCCTACCGAGTTCAAATGGGTCTTGTTCCCTGATTAGTGAATATAATAAGCTGCAGTCCATTATGCGGGGGGGAGGGGGGCTTCAATTGAATTCAGTAGGACCTCAGGGTACATATTGCATAGAACTGTACTAATACTATTTGAATTGCATGAAACTTAAGGGTCAAGTACCAGGCATTTTGAGTAAGAGCAAGGTCATAATTCAAAGCCAGGTTTCTAGGACCTAGCTAGGACTTTCCCTCCACTCCAATATGGTGTAATGACTAATTGAGGATTTGAATATGGCTGTAATCCTATCTGTATACAGCTAGGTATAAGGCCTCTGGGTTCCACACAGGTCACTCTAAGGTCTTGGCCCCCAGCTTGTTATCTTGACAACATGGGGAAAGCTGAGTAATTTCCATAGAGGCATGAATAAATTCATTTAAAGCCAGACTGTACAATGAATTTGGGACAATAAATATCAAGCAATCCCATGCAGGTTTATTCAGAGCCAAGTTCTTCTAGATTTGATTGTGTTTACCCTTATTAACTGCTCATAAGATGGCAGTCCAAATGTAACAATCATATCTGCCTCCTGGTAGGAGTGAATGAAAAGTACCCCAGAACATGCAAAGGACACAGCTTCTAGCCTTCACTAGGGCAGCGACACCTCTCTCTCTGTACATGAAACAGTGCAGAAGTCTCTGTGTGGTCTCTTTCCCAGAGTTAGGATGTTCTGAAAATAAGAGCAGTTGCTTCATTTTTAGATGAAAAACTAAACTGATGGAAATAAAAAATAAACACTCTGTACAGCACCTTCCCAAGGGCTATGTTCTGACACAGCTTAATTAAAATGACATGCAGGGATAAAGGGTCATTCGTCTTTTCATAACTGCTCTTAGTAAATAAAGCATAAGGCAGGAGTTTGTCTCTTTACATTCCAATCCTATGCATATTTACTCAGTAGCAAGTTTTGTGGACTGCGGGAAGCCTTATTAGTAAATATATATGATTTAGGAACTACCACCCCCAGTTTGCTTATAGACTAAAAATTACTTCACTTTCTGGCAGGGATTACCTCTACTCATAGCCTCCCCAGGGTACATTCTGACAAGCTAACTGACCTTAGGATCTGTCCCTCTGAGCTAGTGCAGTGGTTTGGACAGGGTCTCAGTCAGGGGTGTGGAACCTCAGGCCCATGGACCAAATGCAGCCCACCAAGCTGCCCCAGGTGGTCGCACCCATTTCCCCCTTACTTGGCTGATTCTACTCCCATCCTGAAAGCTTGAAAGGTGTCGGTTTCAACTGAAAATGGTTCAGTGCTCCTTCTCTAAGGTAGGAAGCTCACTGAATGATCTTGTGACAAGTACATTTCCTCCCACACTAACCTACCTCACAGGGTTGTTATGGGGATGAAATAGGATAAAACAGAAACATGGCAACTACCATCCTGAGCCCCTTGGGAGAAGCAGAAGATAAACATGCAACAATGGAGGCTTTTTCTTTTTTTCAGAAGTTTGAAGTGGCAGTTAGAACTGCAGTGTATACTGATGAGGGATTAAGTCCCTTGAACTATCTTCATGACTTGGTTTTGAGTGAATATGCATCAGATTTTATGGGGCATTACAACTGTTTTAGTACTTCTATAATCTATGTCCCAGGAAAAATCAAACTTTTTAGAGGGAAAATGTTCTCCTTGGACCTTTCATAGTACATGCTGCTTGGTTAGTTCTTCCCAGTTTATCATGAGCTTGATTTGCTTCTGTGTTCATGTAGAGAAAGTAACATATTAATAGTTCTCTTATTTTTATGCCTGTTATGGAAATCTGACAATTCTAGATCTCTTCATTTGATTCTGTTCCAGTGCTCCCTACCACTACAGCTGTATTGGCACAATCAGATGAGAGGAAATTGCAGCTGTCATGCAAAACCAGCTATGGTAACATTCACCTATCAGTTTAAGAGGAATTACTTTCACAGGGTTCTACCTTTTAATTTCCCGTTTGGCACTACAATCATGGGGGAAATCCACTAAAGCTAAATACATTGGTAACATTCCCTTGTAGGCCTGATGATTTGAATTCATGCTGTCCCCAGCATACATCTTCCCAGTTATAGAGGTATTTCAGGAATTCCAAAGATCACTTTCTTCAAGTTCAGGAATACAGGCAATATAAGAGGAAATGCTTTCCTTTGACTTTGACTCTTTTCTCAAAATGGACAAAAACTCTGTGCTTTTTATCCAGTTAATTTATGGCACAATATTAATAATTTGTTTTGATCTCATCAATATAAACAATGCAATCCTATACATGCCAAAAATTCTCTCTCACTGTAGCTTGAAAGAAGAGAAACTTGAAGGCTGGGTTACAATGGTCACACATATTCAATAATTATTACAGAAAAAATAGATTGCAACCATAATATTACAACCAAAAAGTTACCAACAGGGAATTACCGCTTTAATTAACCAATCATTTAATAATCTTCCTAGAATATTTGCCAATGTAACCCTTTATGGCAATCTACAGCAGCAGCAACCTGAGAGAGGTACCCCTTCTCTCAGAGGTGAGGTTGGTGGTGCCTAATCTTCGGACTGGACTGCCTGGGGAGCCTCACCTGCCAGTTACTGTCATGTTGTCAGGGTGGGATCAAACAAGCTACCTCTTTTTTTTTTCTTTTCTCCCATGCCTTTTAAAATTTCAGTCTAGTGGATTTTTATTCTGCAGCAACGGTAGTGGTAACATATTTCATTATTCTGCTATTCCTTTGAACCAAAGCAGACATTGCTTTGAATCTGTATCTAGCAGTTACATCTCATTTTCATTTTCATTTAAGAACAGGCACAAGGAACACTAATCCAGATGTTAACAGCCACCCTACCGACAACACTAGAGTCCCAGTGAAGATCAGGCACCCTTCTGTTCTTTAGAACTATGAAAGCAGTAGCTGCTTGATACAAATGTATTGTCTGTTTCAGTGGTGATTGTCTAGTTTAGTCTTTTCAACTGTTTTTCATAATTGTTAGCTGCCCTGGAAGTATTAATAATTAAATTAAAATATTGAAGGGCTGGATATAATTAAACCAAGGACTACATAAATAGTATTATTCCAACAATATAAAATACAATGGGGTATAGTCATGGATAAGCTAGTTTGCCCCTCCACGTTTAACACTTGCATAGTGAGTCAATATACAAGAGCCAATCCTTTCATCAGTAATGAGTCTAGAAATAATAATGAAAGCAGTTGAGCCATGGAGTGTTGAAAGAACTAATTTTGAAAAGGACAGGACAATCAAGGGGAGGGGGGAGTGACCTGCTTCAGCTTTTAACACAGGAGTAGGAGCCCAACTTCCATCATCCCTAAATATTTTCTATGCTGGCTGGGACTGATGGGAATTGGAATCCAACATTTGCTATAAACTGCTTGAAATTTCCTGGATGTTACCTTTAAGGTTGGTTGATAAATATTTACTTCCTGCCATACAGCAATAAAGAGCTCAGGTTCAGAGGTATTTGCCAGCCTCAATCGTACACCAAATATCACAAAGGAAAGTCAAGTGGGAAAGAAAATAAAGTGTCCTTCCAAACTGCTGCCAAGCCCCTGGTTCCATGCAGACTGGCACTCTGGATTATATTCTGGGCACACGCTGCAACGGGGGCCCACTTGTTCCTTTTGGCTAATCCTCTATCAATTACAAAGCAGTTATTTCCGTATAGATGGGATTCTTCAAGTACATGTTTTTGTATTTTTTTTTTAAATAAAAAGTTTTAAAAACTCAAATATTGCCCAAGAAGAACATGTGAACTTTCAGGTCCTATGAATAGGAAATGTGTCCATGGGGTAGTGATGGAGATGGAGGGAGCTGAGCATGTTTGTTCTCTAACAACCAGCCTTCCCCAGGTTCTCCAGATGTGGAAGATTAGAACTCCCACCATCCCTAATCTGCATGACCCTTGGATATGCTGTCTGAAAATGATGGGATTTGGAGATTGGAGAAGGCTGGCTTATATCATGCTGTAAGAAGGGATTAGTAGATAGGTCCGCCCAATATATAAGAAAATTTCAAAAGAACGGTTCACTCTCCAGAACTATTCTCTGCACCCACTATATTCCAATTTATTTTAAGTAAGTTTTAAAGTACTTCTTCATATAGTCCAAGGCAAGTCACAAAAATTGCACAATATAACACAACAAAACAGCAATATATAATGTGGCCAACAAAAGCCTGCAATATATCTATTTAAAATTCTGTATTATTCATAAAACCTAATAAAAAACTCAAGTGAAAATCTAGAGGAAAAATCTCCGAAGCATTGTACAAGAGCCTTCCTGAATCAGAATGTAATGCTGTGACATAAGGCCAATATGAATGTAGCTAAGTTTTGAAGCATGAGTGTAGCAACAAAAGAGGTCTTCTGTCTTGTCCCAGCCAAGAACTGACAAGAAAGTGCTTCTGCAGATGATCTTAATAACAAGCAGGCAGGCGTATATGCAAGGGGACAGTGTGACAGAGAACCTGGTGATAAACTGTGTAAGGCAAGGCTGAAGAATATGAGACCTTGCAGATGGTGATCAGTGCAACTTCCTTTAACCTTAGGCAACATAGACAAAGTGAGGGATGAGGATAGCAGTGTAACACCCAGAGGTGCACACACTGGCTGCATTCACACACAGCAATCCTGCATGCTTACCATGGTTCGTTCTTCTTATAATACCTGACAAGTGGATTCTACTTTATCATGATAGTTTTCTCCACTCAATCCACCCACTGTTGGTACATATCCCATTAGCCACTGTGCCTGAAATTTAATCCCAAGGTGCATCATTCTTTGCCTGTGTTGCCAGCCTCTTCCTCATTGGTCCACAGACAGATGGCAGACAAGAGCTCCTGAAGTTGCCGTTCTTTTGAGACAAGTATGTGGTAGTTGCATACCAAGGAACCATGCCATGATTCTGGGTTCAGGCAATGGTGGCACTGAGAAACCATAGAACAAGCCTTTGTTTCTTATGGTTTCTAAAGCATACCATGGTGGAACACCATGACTGGGGTCAAAACCTGAACCTGGCCATTGTCTACATCTGACTTCATTTTGATTTGGCCCTAGAAATAAAAAAGATGCCCAGAAATATGTTGTCGCCAGAACTGCTTGCTTTCTCCTGAAACAAAGTATAGTTGGTGCACTAACATTTAAGCTGGGCAAAACCAACTCTGGCCATATTGGTCATCTGGTAATCCAGGGTCAATAGCTTATCTCAACCCCAGTCATATTTGCCAAGGTTTGAATATATAATAGCTGATGAATATATATTTAATTTTTATTTTTATTTTTTATTTATGCAGTATTTTAAATGTTAATATTATTGAATTTTATTTGGCCAGGGCGGCTTGTTTTATAGTGTATGTTTTATATTATATATTTGTATTTTATTGTATATATTTTAAAATGTTATTTTAATTTTTTGTTGTAAGCCGCCCCGAGGCTTCGGCGAATGGGGCGGCATTAAAATGTTTTAATAAATAAATAAATAAAAATATTCTCTCAGGCCTAACAGTAATTTCTAAACTTGAAGTATTTCTAAACTTTAAGTACTAAGACTTAATTATAGTACAAACTATGCTTAAAATATGAAGGGAAATAAGCTATTGTAATAGGACTGAACTAATGAAGTATTTGGTATTTTGCAGGCCAACTATAACAAAGGTGAAACTATATTTCTTTCCCCTGTAGAGCTGTGTTGCCAAATAGAAACATCTAAGGAGTGAAAACCAACCTATGCTGCAATCAAACTAACTACAATTTGAAGATGCATAAATCTTGGTTTTTCATCTGCTGTGTTGGTTCATGAAATAGAAAATTGTTGTATTAAGCACTAGCTTAGAGTGCCCTCTAGTGGCAAGGGAAAGTTTGTCAATACTAGCATTCAAAATGTCTCCAATATTTTTGCTGGCTCCTTATCCCCCATTCCCAAATAAATTTTCTTATACTGCTCTACATTTCTGTAAAACTTCATAGCATTATCAGAAATATTTTTAAATACAACTGCATGAAAGTTACCTCTCTGTTTAACAGTTAATACTCATTTTTACAATACATGTTTCATTTGTTCTTCCGTTACCTCTTCAGGGTGCAATCCTATTTATGTTTAGACAGGAAAAGGACAGTATTTCCTACCATTTCTCAAACAATGTAACTGGCTAGGGAAAGCTAGGTTTTCTGGGCCTTTTCCCAGCTAAACACACACAGGACTGCCTTAAGCCTCCTATAATTAGGATAGTTTTTTAAAAACTAGGGAGAAAAATCTAACTAAAATTTTTGCCATCTTGTTTTTCAAGCAAATACAACTTTTTAATGAATGTAGAAAATGGGAATATTTCTAGAGAGTTTAAAATACATAACAGTAATAAAGCATTCCAAGATATTTGCATCTTTTGTCAATGTTCCTCCAGAACCTTTTGCTTACATTTTACTAGTTTGAAACTATCAAGCAAGGAAAACGTGAAATTCTCTCCCTCACAAAAAAAAAAAAAAAAAAAAAAAAAAATGGGGACTCAGCAATTATATATTATACCCCAATCCTAGAACTATCTTGAAATCTGAGTCTAATTGAATTAGTGATGCAATCTTTTGTACACATACCTGGAGAAAGCCCCATGAGTCTTTATTCATGTGTTCATTCCAGTCTATACTGCCTAATTGCCAAAGCTTTCTGGGTGGTTCACAGAAATTAAAACCCAAAATCTGGCATGAATAACATAAAATTTTAACAAAGATTTGAAACAATGAAATTTTCTTCTGCATAGAGTTGTGCTATAGGGATAAACTTACTAGGACATACACCCTTAAATATGGTGGGAGTTCCTTCTCAGTGGATATGCATGTGGTTGTGCTGTAAGCTTGTTCTGTCCTTATGCAGTCCATCTCAAAATATTGGAAACAGTATCTGGGGTGTGCCATAGGATGCTGTGGAGCAAAGAATGTAGAGGAGATCCAACTATGGATCTTCCCACTTCTCTCCCCCCTCCCCCCAGCCACTGCAGAAAGCTTCTTTTGCATGATTTCACCCAGAGTTTTGGATTCTCCACATTACCTGTTACCCTGTCTGGTGGGCTTTAAAAAGAAATAAGGTGTGGCCCTTTGACAAGTAAATGGTTTTGTTTTAAAACACACTGGTTAAAATAAGACAACTTTTGTCCTAATTGCAGATGCCTACATTTGGTTTCATTTGATTTAATAAGTATCACACTTTCCAGCTGTCATTTCCACAGGCTCACATTTTAAGAATTGTTGATTCTACTCAGCAGTATTGGCACAAGAAACCACAGCTTTTCAGAAACTGACAGTTAAGATTCAATTTGTCCATGCAAATATAAAATCCTGGAAGGTAAATTGGGGAGCAGGAACAGACACTGAAGATTTCAAATAGAAGCAGTTGAGCAAATGTTTACTGCAAAGTGATCATTATGTGACAGCTGATAGGAATAGTCTGATATAACATTTTAGTTTCTCAGTTTCTGCTTTCAATCTGTCCCTCTATTTTAAACCTTTACATTGCTGCTAGATTCTCTTTGGTTATTTTTATTGTTATAGTGCAGTTCTAAAATTGTATACTGTATTTGTTTTGCACTTTGTTTTTCAAACCACCCAGGTAGTGTCCATGATTCAGTGGTACAGACATGTAGTGAATAAGATATACAACTAAACTAAAAATCATATTCTGCACTATTTTAAAATGTTAATACAGTTGTAAATCTGCTTAAGTATGACCATTTTGGGAGGTATGTCAACCCTGAATGAAATACCTTTTCCAAGCACTGACCTGTAAGAAACTCTTGGTGCTAATTTTATAATTGTTTGGCAATGTTTGACTTAAATGATTAATTGCAAAATCTGCCAAATACAGTAGCAGATTTAGCACAAAAATGCTCAGTTGTACAAAAGAGAAAATTTAATGTTTAATGTATGTGATCAAAATCATAACTGTTCAGCAAGACAGACATAGCATCAATTAAAAAAAGTAGGGTTATATTTACAGAATCAAATGTACAAAGTAAATTATGTACAACATCTCACACTAGGTACTGATTGACAGACTCTGTATCATGTCCTTTATGTAACAGAAAATCAGTTCAGTTCTCTGTCTTTAAAGGGATCAAAGAAACAATGCTCCAAGGCTTCATCCAGTGTAATTCTCTTTGCTGGATCATACTCCAACATTCTACGAATAAGGTCAAATAGATTTTCATGGTTTTTATCATGGCAGTGCATGAATTCCTGGCAGGAGGCCGGGGAGAGAAAAAAAAAGAGAGCACACTTTAGATACAATTCTTTGGCTTACAGAATCGAGAACAGGAAGAAGTGTATGTTCTCTTACATTTAGTGGTTTACACCGTCTTCTTACATAACGACCTGCAGAACTATGTTCATCCCAGTCCAGCTGATCGTGGCGAAAGTAATGTTTCCTACATACACAAAGGCTAAATAAGCTATATTTTTTGCTCTCATTTCAAGATATGACAATCATTTTTGCTTTCAACGACAGTTTCAACACAACAGTGACAAACAGTGGGTGAATTAACTTATGATTTACCAGGGATGCAGCAAGTGTCAACACATGCCAGGAAGGTAGCTGTTGTTCGTTGGGGTTTTTTTTTTTTTTTGGTTGGTGGGCTAAACAGCTCAAACTGATGATCTGTTCTTAAGGTTAACTTTAACCCATAGACAAGTCAAAGTGTCTGGAATCTTACATCATGCTAATGTACAAATGGGCATTTATAGGTTGTTTTGCAAGACTGAAGTAGTTTTTATGCTCTGCATTCTATCAGTTAACCTGCAATTAACACCATAACATGCAACCTGATGCACTAACAATCTTCTTCTTGCCAGATTTTAATATTCCTGTTGATTTGGCATTTAATCCAGCTACCCCTTAGATTCCTTTCACTTCCAATTCTGTTAATCTCTGGCATTTCTCAACCTTCTTTACACTTTCCAATAGTCACACCTTTCATCTAGTCCTTTTCAAACAGGCATTCTGATGTATTAAAGTTGTTTTTTAACCTTTTACCTACTTCATACTTTTTGTAGCTCAACCCTCTGTACATTTACTAACAGAGTGCTGCAACAGAGCATGCTGGGATTAATCCAAAAGGAAGCAGAGAATCTGTCTTAAATCTATCCTTGGATTTAACATGGTTGACAAGGATAAGTTCCTGTTACCCTTATCTCTTATTTGTGCCCCTCTGTGCCTTTTCCCTTCTCTCCCAAGCACCTTTTCTCCAGTTCTGCATTCCATGGCTCTTCCCTTCCTTTTCAGTCTCTCTCACTTGCCCATGCACCAGAATATCTTCTCTCTCTCAGAATTAATTTCAAAATGGAAGAGACAGTAACAACCAGGAGATGCAGCTATCAATTAAGGCCACATTTCACAGCAAAGAAATGAGAATAGCTGATGCACAGCCTCAAAACTGCTATGTATTTTAAGATGGAAGTAAATGCTTCTGAGCCCCATTGTAGTTACATTGTAGTAAATGAGCACAGAAATGCCATAATAAGATTGGAAGGGAGGGACGGCCTTGTCACAGTTCTTGACAACACAATGGTAGCAGGAGACCACAATGGAGCTCTACACAAGTGTTCTTATTTATAATCTTTGGGAAGCCGCTTCGGCGAATGGGGCGGCATAGAAATTTTTAAACAAATAAATAAAAACTGAGCAGGGGGCATTTTGGGGTGGGGGTGCACTGTTGCTGACTTTTTTGAACATTACCACAAGCTAGCCTATCCTGATTATTTTGAAATGGCTGCATGTATATTGCTAATTTATAGCAAACCAGGATAAGCTATAGCTATGTTAGTCTGTTTACTTATTTACAATGTTTACAATGTTTGTATACTGCTCCATATCTAGACAACAAAAGCAAAATTAAAATCTTGTCACTGTTTGAAGACTAACAAATATACTGTGTCTTACATAAACTACAGCACTTAATACATTGGTTAGTCTTTAAGATACCACAAGACTCTGCTGGTCAAAATAGGCTAGGAAGCCTGATCTATCAATTCTTGCAAATACAGCCAACACTACAGAATTTGATTACCTTGATTTTTTAATCATGTGTACAGGTAAAGGCCCTAGTATCTTCTCCATCATTGCCAGATGTTCTTTACTATCATGTGTCTGTAAAGAGGAACAAAAAATTAAGTGACATGTACATTACTCATTCTACAATATATAGTCAAAAATCAATCAAAACACATTTTAGCCAGAAAAACTAGCTTAGAAACTAATTATTTAGAAACTTGTAATACAACAGCCTGAAATTGCCCCCCCCCACCCCCAAATAGGCAATTCTCCCAAGTCCTTCAGGAGTGGTTACTGAACGCGAGGACATGTTATTTACAAAATTTATTTAACCTAAATATAATGGGTATTTTTCTATGCTGCACATGCACCAACGGGATGTACCATTAGTGCAATGGGGAGCAGTGGTTCTTCGCAACTGAAACTAGTAGAAATAAGTAATGTCTAGAAAAGAGCAGGTGGGTGGTAGTCACAGAAGGGGGCTCAACTGACTGGACTTCCATTATGAATTTCTAACTCCCTGTTGTGAGGGCAGTGAATCCACCAGCAAGCAAAGATGAACAGATGCTCCCCAAAGGGCATAATCCAGTATTCACACACACAGATTTCTGATTGCTCAATGATTATTTATTTTTATTTATTTATTTAGCAAGCTTCTATGCTGCCCCATTCGCCGAAGCCTCGGGCGGCTCACAACAATAAACAAACACACATTAACCAATAATGTGGGGAAACATTCTGGGAGGGGATGGCAGAATACAGAAGGAAGTATTGGCGCTGTTTCTCCTGTAGAAAGTTATTGCATTAGCACAGGGATCTCAAACTCACGGCCTGCAGGCCAATTGCTGGGAGGGGCGGGGCATGGGGGAGGGGCCCTGCGGCCTTCAAAGCGCCGGTGGCGCCCGGGCCGGCCTCCGGGAGCCACGCGGGATGAGCGGCCCACCACCACCGCTTGATGCGGCCCAGCCTCACCCAGACTCTACTTCCAGCGGCCCCCAGGTAAATTGAGCTTGAGACCCCTGCATTAGCAGGATATGGTAATTCAAGCCTCCACCTTCCACATATGTATCCAAGTTACCTTGTCTTCAAACAACCACAGCTAAAATCTTTAAACCTTATCACTTTACAAAAAAAATTAGACTCAATGTATATTTAATATTCTGAATACATAAAATATATAAGGACCCTAACTATAACATTGTAAAAATACAACAGATCAAATAAAAATACTAACCTAATTAACTGGATTCATGTTTACTGTTTGAGTAGAAAATCCCAAATAAAATGATATACACTTACCTGAAAGACTGTAAAACCAAGGTAATATTCAATCAGGATGCAACCTATACTCCAGACATCACAGGGTTGGGACCATCCAAGCGCTGGAACACAATTAATAAAATCTGTTACTTCACAGTGTCATTCAAGCTGGAAATTCAAACACTAACAATACTCAGTTTATTTTACATACACCATAAATGTTTCTCTTACACCTAGTCTTCCTGAACTTTAATAAATCGTACAACTAAGTGTGGATGTGATACTGAAATGTATTAAAAGCAGTGATGACATGAAGAAAGATTTTCCTGAATTGTTACATTCCCAGTTTTTTTTTTTCTTTAAGAAAGCATGGTGATTTTGAAAGTTTCTACTAACCTAATATAACTTCAGGTGCTCTGTAATGTCTTGTAGACACTAAAGTGCTGTGATGTTCATTATCATATGTTGCACTTCCAAAGTCTACGACTTTAATATCTGAGTTTTTCAGCGTGCGCTCATCCCGTCTCTGTAAGGAAATTAAAATATATCCTTTAAAAGTTGCATTTCTGTTGCTTGTTGTATTTCAAATATGAAATTATCCATTCTGTTGCATTTTCTAGATGAACTCTGTTCATTTATTACATTTATATCCCAGGTTTTTCTTCTTGAAAGGAACCCAAGGCAGTATATGTAACTATTCTCTTTTCCATTTTTTTAATCCTCACAACATCCCTGAGGTAGGTTAGGCTGAGTCTGTGATTGGCCCTAAATCATCCACTAAGCTTCATGGCTGAATCGGATATCTCTAGTCCTAGACCTCAGTGTCAGTACAATGCTTTAACACTGTTTCAACTTACAAACTTTAATTTATCTTCTCTCATCCTCTCTGATTTTGAACCTAAGTGCCTCTAAAATAAATGAGGAAAGATTAATTTGGAAAAGACACACCTTGAATTGAAAGAAATTATACAATAAGTAATCTAAATTAATTCTTAAACAGAATAAACTTATTCAAGAAACTATATCACCCTGCTTTGACATTTCACAGCAACATAAAATTTCCTGCATTCATCTCAAACTACATAAGAAACGTAAGTACTGTCTTTTCTTGGTCATCGATGGTTCTGCTGCATCTTCAAATAATTATTTAAATCATTTTCTTAGTCAATGCCTTTACTTTCACTTATTCAATAGCTTCTGCACTTACTAATCACTAAGTACACATGCTGAACATATGAAGCTCAGATGTTGGAGGAAACAACTTGAGCATCTCTTGTTTTGCAAAGCAAATGTTACAGTTCTGTACAGCACATCCATTTATCAAGAATAAAAAAGTTATATAGATAGCCTACAAGGGAGAAGTTTTGAGCAAGTAAACTTACCATTTTAGAATTGTACTTTAATACATAATCAGACTCTACAAATAAAATATTTTCAGGTTTCAGATCTGTATGAGTCAATTTATTGTGATGCAAGACTGCAAAAAGAAAAAGAGGTGGCAACTCAATACTTAAATCAGTGTCTACCATTCTAGGATATGGACCATTTCTTAAACATTGTGTTTACTTACAGTTTATAGATTGACAAATCTGATAAGCCATCTTCCTAATAAGTTCGATAGGAAAAGGCAGAAAGCTATTTTCCTTAATAAAATCATAGGTACTGAGTCCCAGTAGCTCAAACACAATGCAAACATGACCATGATGTTCAAACCATTCCAGCATCTGTACACAACGGCTAGGAGAAAAAAGCCACCAGAACATTAACTTAGTAAGACAATTAGTTAATTCATACCATAACATGGTGTTCTTACTCTACCGTATACTTACAACGTGCTGCCTGGATCCAAAGTATTTAAGTGCTCCAATATTTGAATTTCTGAACGAGCTGCTTCTCTATATCTACCAACATTTTTCACAATTTTTATAGCGACATGCATCTCTCTCCTATGGGAAAAAGTGAAATACAGTGAAGTAACTGTGGCCATTCTTAAGTGCCAAATATTCCACAGCAGCCTAGAGTCATCAGTAGATGATTATTCACACCACTTAAGGAAGTCTGAGACCAGAGTATTGTCGATACAATATGAACCACTTCATACAGAGCAAGTGCACGTGTTGTAGCACATCAGCAAAAGCCTTTTACACATTATGCTGGCAGTGCAGAGCATCTGCCTAAGCAAATACATTTTGATGGCATTCATGTAGCTGCTTATATTTAAATCAACCCTTTATGCAAGCATTTGGAAATCTTTTATCAGCTTTGCTACCATGAATTATTGTTTCTGACACTCAAAGTCACATCTATTCTTCTCAACTTCAAAAAAGATCTGACCAGGAATAACTAACTTTTCAAAAATGTAAAGAAGATATTTTAACAAGGTGCTCAAATAGCAAAACAGCTCTCTAAGGAAAATATTCTCTCAACTCTAAGGTCAGAAAGGAAAGCCATGCTATTGGGCAGGTGGATTTTCTATCGTCAAATGAAGACATTCGTTTTAGCAATATTTTTGGAAGAAGATATACTTACATGTGGTGATCAATGCATTCTACTACTTTTCCGAAAGCACCCTCCCCTAAAGTAGCAATAATTTCATCTAAAAAAGAAATATATTAAGGGTATTATTGAACTAGTTGAACAAAGACGAAAGCTACTGAGCATGTCACTATAAAATCATTAACTTAAGTGTCTGTCTTTGTACGTGTTATTTTATCGGACAGGTGTCATGAAATAGCTAGCTAGCTATCAAACTAACCTTAAGCTTTATTTATTATTGTAGTTCTGAACAGCAATATTTAAGAATAGAAAAAAACAAAAGAAATGTAAAAAAATACAAAGACAAAATAAAAGACAAAAAAGAGCAATGAAGGTTTCTCAGCCCCCGCCCCCACTCCTTCTCTAACATACTATTCTAAGCAGATGTTTTGCTGAAAAGTTTTTTTTAAAAGTGTTGAAAAATATTCTATACATCTTGCTCTTAGTACGTCTCCACTTTGACAGATCAGGTGACCCTCCTCATCATCCTCTACACTCCTGGATCTTTTCCTTCGGTGGCTCTTCTGGAAACGGCACCAAGTTCGTCCAGCCAATCAATATATCAGAGTGAATTCAGGGTAGAATACGCAATTCATTCAGCGGGGATATTCAGGTATTCAGTTACGCACCAGGCCACGAACAGTTGGCAGGAGCAATTTCAAATTCAGTCCCCAGAAATTCACAGGGCACAGTTTATGTTACAGAGAAAAACATGGCAAGGAACAGATTTTCAGATAAATACTTAAAGTTGTAAGACAATAGAAACACAACACAATTTTGTTCCTTAAATAATAGTTTAATTGAAGACTGGAACTAATGTAAATATTTACTTCTGCTATTTGAAAACAAGATATTGTTACTTTGGCATTTAATTTTATGAAATGATAACCTGGTCTGATCTCCTTGAAACTCTAGCAAAATATTCTAAAATAACAGTTTAAGTATTACAATCAATAGCAGAACTCTCATGCAATTAATATTTGTATTCCATTTTTTAAAGCTAAAAGGGAAATATTCAAATGTCTTGTAATGCAGTCTGTATGCATTCAGAAGTACAGAAACACTTGAACTTAAACCTTAAATTTGAGTACACATATTAGCAATATCATACTGTTTAAAGAAAGTCCTTACTGATTAGTGAAATGAAAGTTTTTGATAAGAATACCATTCAATTAATGATCAACCTTTCTATGAAACTAAACTATACCAGAAAAGCATGCTGAATTCATTACAGATGTTATTACATTTTTCATCCTTTAATTCCAGTTAAATAAATACCTTCTGTGTCTTTAGAGATGGGAAAGAAAGAGTTGCTTCACAATGCTGTAAAACTAATTCATATAACAACACCACTTGGCTACTTCTCTTACCAGCTGTAATTTGAAAAACTAAGCAATTATCTAGTTTTCCAAAGTACTAAATAAATTAGGCCAAGTGAACATTCATATGAAAAAGCTAAAAACTCATAGAATTGACATCATTCAAATACTGAAATACTCAAATTTCTCAAATAGTCAAGTACATACATATTCAAAGAGGGAGGGAGGAAAACAAATCTTGAGTCTTTACTAAAAACTTCCCAGATATTTACACTTTGGGAATCTCATATTCCATGAAGAAATTCAATATATTTATTAAAAAGCACTAATATATTTATTACACAATTTTAAAAGATACATACCAAATGTGAGCTGTAACTAGAGCCATGTTTCTTATGCTTTCTTTTATGACTACTTTTTCTGCTTTGACCAGAGGATTTGCTATAATGATGGCAGTGACTCTTTTCATCATCTCTGTGATAATGCCTGTGGTCATCATCCACATCATGGAAGTCATTTCTATATTCTTCAACATATCTCCGGTCATGGCGGTTTCTCTCATGTGTGGAGCTATAATCCAAGTAGCTACTGAAAGTACATTGAAATTATTTTCTAAGTTTTAAAAAAACTTGTTCAGAATATAAATGTTATGTCATCTAACTCACAAGTGTAAATATGGAAATATACTAGGAACCCTATTTACCTAGAACCAATGAAAAGAATTATTTGTGTTGGTTATGCAAGAGAAATGGTTAAATTGGCATAGCTGTATGAAAGTCACCATCAAAGCAATCCCTATTACTCTGAAAAATGCAAAATCTGACATAATTCTAAATAGCTTCAGTTTCCCTGACCTGCAAGAAGCCCACAATCAATCAACTGTCCCATCTATTGAGCAAGAGAGCTACTCATTCCAGACAACACTGAAGAAATCTCTCTATTCAGAGACTTCAGTCCATTCTACTTGAGGATACTTCAAAACAGCTTTCCACAAAGCCATTCACCTGCTGCCAGAAGTATTTGAGTTTGCCAAGCAAGACAGCTCTTTTAAGGAGACTGTATCACAGTGGCTAATTTGGACTGCCAGAAAGTACCAGATGTCAACAAATGAAACTGGCACAGGTTTCTTCCCTCTTCCCCTCCTCCTCTAAATTCTACATATCTGATGTGGGCTGGTCCACAGTATTTTAAATTGCTCAAGTTATTCCTTTTCCTGATGTGCAAACTTCTCCCCAATAGTTTCTTTTACTTCACCCCATATTATCTTCTCCAGGAATTAGCAGCTTTAGCTAATCCCAGCCTCCATCTTTCATGCTATTCTGTCCAGTACCTCCTGGTCAACAAACTCCTGTGCCACTTCTTCCCAACTGCATGTAGATTTTTAAGAACATGAAGCTTTGCTTTGTAAATAGATCAACTGACTGGACAGAATGACAAAGTATTTTCAATTTTCTTTTTACTTGCTTGCTTCCTTCCCTCTGCAGCTCTTAAGTTTCCTGGCCCCATTTGCCACAGGTCTCTTCCCCCCAGTTCCAGCCGGTTTTTTTCCACATTAGAAAGGGCACATTTGTTACTGACAAAAGACCCTTTCCCTTCTTTTTCCCTCTGGAGACCAGATAAGATAACATCAGGGAGCTGCTGCACAGAAGGAAAAATACTGACTCAATTCCTTTAGGGCAGAGGGGAAGACTGTATTTGAGTCAATGGAAAATTTAAGGTTCATCAAGTTACAATTAGAGCATCATTAAGTTTTGAGTAATTTACCTGTCTGCAGTTTTAAGTGATTTATAGCGTTTGTGATTTCTTTCACTGCTGTGAGATCTCCTTCTGCTCTTTTGGCTATTTGTACTCTTTTCTTCATCCCAGCTGTCTCTATCATGCCATTCAGAGTCATGGGTTCTTTTTGAGTGCTTCATCTAACACAGGACAATAAACCAAGGCAAAAATTTAACATTACAAAAAACAAGGAATTCAAAATAACAGATTAATAGCACACTGATAGGCATTAACTCAAAGGTAAGTCACATTGTGTACAATGGAGTTTACACATTGGTAGATGTCCACAGGAGTATAAATTAAGGCTATAATACCTATTTGGAAGTAAGCTTCATTAAACACAATGGGATTTTCTTGTGTGTTAATGTCCAAAGAAATGTCTTACATCTGTGAAAACACACAGGAAGGTATTTTAGAAGTGAGAAGACATTAAGAACAATAGATATATGTTGGTGAGGGGAGTGGCCCACCTGTTGCTCTTGTATCCCCACCCTGCTTCAGTTGAACCCAGGAGACTACATTAACCATCAAGGTAAGGAGAGACCATGAATATACCGAATCTAGATTAAAGAAAGAATATGAAAATACAAGTAAGATTAGCTTTTCTCCATTATTTATTTATAAACTTATAGCTTACTGGGGTGGGTGGGCATAGCTCTTACAAGACATGTTGCCTGACAATTAAAATACAAATTACAACCAGAATCACACCACCATCTAACAGAAGCACCAATGTTATTTGACAATAAAAGCATCAACAAAATAAAAATACTATGCACTTCAAATGATTTAATCACTTTATTCAATTAAAAACTCAACAGAAACTCAACAGTACAAGCCACATATACCTCAGCAGGGAGAAGGTTTCACATTTTGGGAATGGTTCTGCTTCTCATGCCTGCCAACAGGATCAACATTACTGGTGAACATATAGGCAAGTCCCCTGAAGCAAAATGTAATACTTGGGCAGGCTTCTATGAATGTAGACAGATCTCCAGGTAGCCTGGTCCCTAGGTGTTAGGGTTTCACAGGCCCAAAGCAACATTTTGAACTGAGATCAAAAACATATTAGCAAATGGCACGAGTAGTGTTCATATTTTCAAATTGTGTAGCTCCAATCAAAAACTGGGTAGTTATATTCTGTACAAGCTGAGGTTTCAAAACTATATTTAAAGGATGCCTCATATACAACATAATCTCCCGTCCTCTGGAAAACCTACTATGCATCAAATAGATTAGGAAACTTTTCCTTTCCCCCTACTAATTGGTCCTATGAATCCTAATCTTTCCTAATGTTCTGCAGTGTATTCCACCTGACATTTGAAGATGACTACGTATCTTTAAAACTTGTCTGAATAGCATTTTACCATCACTATGTTCTTAATATTATAGAATCATATAATGGTATCATAGCAGGTCCCTTTATGGTCCGTCTATGCAAAATATTCACACAAATTGAAGTGCAATACTAGATGACTCCATAAAACAAAACAGCACAATTTATTCTAAAAATCAGTACCTCCCCTAGATAATCCACAACAGAACACTGTTACCAGGTTCTCTCCCCTACAGTGACTGATTTACAGAATAATTGTGTAGTCTTCAAAATTACCTACTTTTCTACTTCCTGCCAACCAGCAAGCTGGTCCTTTAACTTTCTAGTTTACAATCACTACCTAGACCTCTAGAAAGGTCAACTACTATTGTCTCCTCCTAGGCAAGCAGTTCAGGACTTCAGCAAACAGTCAGAGACAAACAGATCTTACTCAATTGCAACTCATATTAACTCCCCAAGCTTAGTACATTAGTAAGATATAGATATACTATCAGCAGAAATATAATATTTCATTCTGTTAGTACTATTACTGTCAAAGTTAGGTCATACACTTGTATATGCAATGGAGTTTCTATAGTCCACTTCCTTGCTCCATGCACCATACTGGAGCAGCTAAACCCCCTATTCCCACTGAAAGGAAGATAATGAGTTCAACATTCTGCACTCCCATGTTTCAGTTAGTCTTTCTTCATTATAAGAAATAGCACCTACTTACCTATATGGGTAAGTCTCGGGGGAAAGGAAAGCACAGTTGCTAGATTACTTAACGATATCAGGATAGCAAATGTTTGAGTGTGAAGGAAACAGTGGTACAAGTCTAACTGTGGAATTTATTTATTACTTTTCTAGACCATCCTAACTGTGGAATGAATGAATAACTTTTCTAGACCATCCCTTACCGTGTTCTCAGGCTGGTTTAACAAGACAAGCAGCATTAAGCAAAACAGTAGCATTCCAATTTATTGACTGCATTTGACAGTCTTATAGGCCTGTTTACAAAGTGTTCCGTTAATTTTCTAAAATGATAAAGGGCTCAAAACTGTCTGGACATCGTAGTAACACCAAACTTCCCCTCCTCCAAAATCTGGAAGATATTTTTGCTACCAGTCAAAGCTGACAAGTATTTAGTCCTGAGGGGTTTGCAACAATTAACTTATTCTGCATTCTAGAACTAAGTCATGACAATTAAAATCTGTTCTAATATTCCCTGGTTCAAATTAAACCATGATATAGTTAAGAATGAAATATTTTACACTGATATATTTAACAAGTTGTCCCCGGGTGTTTTAAAAACTTTCAATTTTGGTGGAATTCGGGCGTTTGACAAGATTATCTTATCTGTGTAGCTTCCATGTAGCCTGAAGTGCCTGATCCTGCCTAATCTTGGAAGCTAAGCAGGGTCAGGCCTGGGCAGAAATGGGATGGGTGACTTGAGTGTATGATTCTATGATTATTGCTGTCAACTGCCTAGAGAGCTTTGGCTATGGGCAGTATAAAAATGTAATCATCATCATCATCATCATCATCATCATGTGTTGCCCTAAAGATCAACTATTTAAAAAAATCAAGAACCGGTGCTCTGTGGTAGAAGGGATTTCTAAACAAGCGATGTTGTGTCTAGAAGGTAATGAGAACAATTCGTTATTTTGCAGTAGAGAGAACACAGCGCTAGCCAGCATCAACCGAAAGGTACTCCAAGTACAGTATAAAATCCCGCAGGGGCCTCAGAGGGCGGAAGAGAGAGCTAAAAGCTGCAGGCCCCGCTGGGCTTAGCCGAAGTGTAGCCCTAGCACTTCCTTTCCCCGTCTCCCTTCGGTATCCCAGCCTCGGACTCCAGAGCGGCCTGACGAGAACGCAAAAGGGCCTGTTTCCAGGTAAGACCCCCCGAGAGAGACTGAAAGGCACCTTCTGTTTCAGACATACCTTTCTGTCTTTGCAGACACCTAAAGCGAGCTAACGAGACGCTTCCAATTCCTTCGTCACTTACAGTTAGCGAAGAGCGCCTTCTCCTCCGTTCGCAAACAAACAAAATGGCGGATTCCTCTCTTCCCCCCCAGCGCCAATTTTGCGGAATTACGTCACAAGCGCTCACACAGGTAGACCTACAGAATAATTGGAAGAGCAAAGTAGAGTGCTCAGCTTCCGGGACTACTTTTTTAAAAATTTCGCAGGGCGAAAATGCCGGCTCACCTTGCCAAACCAGGAGCTTAGCAACCCCTAATCCTGCGCTTTGAAACCTCTGAGCTGCTGAAAAGCTGTAAGGATCTCTAAAGCTTTGTCCTGCTGGTGGCCATTAGGCTGGCCTAATACAGGTGTGGGTTTCGGGTTGGTAGCGTTGTTGTGCGTGTGCTGCAGCATGCTTCTCTTTCCTTCACACAATGTTGGAGCAAGCATAGGATACGCTTTTCAAATTTGGCCTGATTTCGGGTGTGTGTAGGGAACTCTGGATGTGGTTTTAATTTTCACACCTTTAAAAGTGGCCATCGCAAAGACACTGAGCGCCGAATTCGCGTGGGAAGAAATCGGAAGAGGCAACGTAATTGCTGCAGCTTCATGTCTAGCCTATTATTAACCATAGACTACACTGCAGGGTTGTTGTGACCCAATCTTTCTCAGACATCTCACGCGGCTTCCAATTTGGCAATAATGGAGTGAACTGGTATTCGGCCAACCTTTCTGTGAAAAATTCTGGACACACAAACACATTTTTTATACGAGACAATTAGAAATAGAATTATATCGAGTTTTTAAACTGTTCGTGTTTTGGATTGTTTGTACATAGAAGACAGCGTTCTGAAAAGCAACTCGTACATCTTTTTGTATATTTAATACAGAAAATTCAATATACTCATTCTCCTGCTAATTTTTACTTTCTTGGTTGGAACCCTGCTGTCCAGCCACTTTTTTCTGCCTTCCAGTTCGCCGTTGTTTTCGAAGGCAAATTTTTACTTCTTCGACAAGGGAAACAAACTCCCTCGCCCCGCAAGAAGCACTCCAAAGAACCAGGACGCTCAAGGTTTAAGAGTTCCGTTGCTCCTCTACATTTTCCTATCTCTAGATCAAGAGTTACTGTGCGGAGAGCAAGCGTTAAAGCGTCGGCCCGCCCGCGGCTGTTCCGTCGGCGCGCAGAAAGAGCTTTTTGGGTTGGCTGCAAGTGCGATGATGGCAGCAGCTGGACGCGCCTCTTTTCAGCAGCAGCGATTCATTTCCGCAGCTGGATTCTTTGCATATTTACTCAAAGGTAAGTTCAGAGACTTGCATGTTGTTTAGTTACGTGCTTTAAAGATGAACTGGGAGGGAATTTGGTAGGAACTTAAGTTTTGGAACGTTTGGGGAAAAACGTGACCCTTTTAAGGAAAATAAATGGGGCCAGAGGATGAATTATGCAAATTAAAATGTAAATAAAGTGTTAATGATAGTCATCATGTACAAAAGATTCAGAAATGATTGGAATGTGCTTAGTCAGCAAACACATGCAGCAAGCTTGATACCGATGCCCAGTGTGCCTCAGACGGTCGTGGGTGGGAGCGACAGTGTGGAATAGATGTACAAAGTGAAATTGGGCTGTTATCATGGAAGCCCCAATTCATGTTCCTGCTAATCCCAACTGCTTTTGTAAGTCGTCCTGATTGCTTGGCGATAGGATGGGACATAAATGCCTGTAGGTTGCCTTATGTCGCCCCAGTTTTATAAGTAGAAAAGTGTACATGTGTGGAATGAATGAAATAAACCATATCTGGTACAAGGCATCCTAAATTATTCTGTGACTTCCAGAAATAGCTCAAAAGCACTGATCCAAATGGCATGCTCTTGATGCTATAACGGGATAGCAAAAACAACAGAGTCTTGTGACAACTTAAAACACTAACACATTGATCATTGCATAAGCACACTTGAATATAGACTACTTAATCAAATATGTAAGGTGTTCACCACCTGATGGCAGCTCTTGGGGATTGTTACATACAGTATATCACAGAAGTGAGTACACCCCTCACATTTTGTAAATATTTTATTATATTTTTTATGTGACAACCCTGAAGAAAGGACACTTTGCTACAATGTAAAGTAGTGAGTAGACAGCTTGTATAACAGTGTAAATTTGCTGTCCCCTCAATAACTCAACACACAGCCATTAATGTCTAAACTGCTGGCAACAAAAGTGAGTACACCCCTAAGTGAAACTGTCCAAATTGGGCCCAAAGTGTCAATATTTTGTGTGGCCACCATTATTTTCCAGCACTGCCTTAACCCTCTTGGGCATGGAGTTCACCAGAGCTTCACAGGTTGCCACTGGAGTCCTCTTCCACTCCTCCATGACGACATCACGGAACTGGTGAATGTTAGAGACCTTGCGCTCCTCCACCTTCCGTTTCAGGATGCCCCACAGATGCTCGATAGGGTTTAGGTCTGGAGACATGCTTGGCCAGTCCATTACCTTTACCCTCGGCTTCTTTAGCAAGGCAGTGGTCGTCTTGGAGGTGTGTTTGGGGTCGTTATCATGTTGAAATACTGCCCTGTGGCCCAGTCTCTGAAGGGAGGGGATCATGCTCTGCTTCAGTATGTCACAGTACATGTTGGCATTCATGGTTCCCTCAATGAACTGTAGCTCCCCAGTGCCGGCAGCACTCATGCAGCCCCAGACCATGACACTCCCACCACCATGCTTGACTGTAGGCAAGACACACTTGTCTTTGTACTCCTTACTTGGTTGTCTCCACACACGCTTGACACCATCTGAACCAAATAAGTTTATCTTGGTCTCATCAGACCACAGGACATGGTTCCACTAATCCATGTCCTTAGTCCGCTTGTCTTCAGCGAACTGTTTGCAGGCTTTCTTGTGCATCATCTTTAGAAGAGGCTTCCTTCTGGGATGACAGCCCTGCAGACCAATTTGATGCAGTGTGCGGCATATGGTCTGAGCACTGACAGGCTGACCCACCACCCCTTCAGCCTCTGCAGCAATGCTGGCAGCACTCATACGTCTATTTCCCCAAAGCCAACCTCTGGATATGATGCTGAGCATGTGCACTCAACTTCTTTGGTCGACCATGGCGAGGCCTGTTCTGAGTGGAACCTGTCCTGTTAAACCACTGTATGGTCTTGGCCACCGTGCTGCAGCTCAGTTTCAGGGTCTTGGCAATCTTCTTATAGCCTAGCCCATCTCTATGTAGAGCAACAATTCTTTTTTTCAGATCCTCAGAGTTCTTTGCCATGAGGTGCTATGTTGAACTTCCAGTGACCAGTATGAGAAAGTGAGAGCGGTAACACCAAATTTAACACACCTGCTCCCCATTTGCACCTGAGACCTTGTAACAATAACGAGTCACATGACACTGGGGAGGGAAAATGGCTAATAATGCCCAATTTGGGCAGTTTTACTTAGGGGTGTACTCACTTTTGTTGCCAGCAGTTTAGACATTAATGGCTGTGTGTTATTTTGAGGGGACAGCAAATTTACATTGTTATACAAGCTGTATACTCACTACATACATTGTAGCAAAGTGTCCTTTCTTCAGGGTTAATAAAATAGTTACAAAATGTGAGGGGTGTACTCACTTCTGTGATATACTGTATATAATGGTCAATAAGTCATTGATATTTTGGTGCCCCATCATTGTAAGAACTACATATCTCTCAAGCCCAAGAGATTTTTATTGTTTTGATTGTCAAGAAAGGGGTGAAAGATAGAATAATTAGTTGACTGCTATATACTCTGCACCATTAGGACAGGGTGGGGGTAGATTACGTTCAAATTAGTCATAAATCATATTGTATAGATTGTAGTGAATACCTTGTATTAATTTAGGATTGCTATTTAATTTGTTCTAATATAGTGTTTTTAATATAGTGTTCTTATTCTTTTGATTTAATCTCATACTGTTCACCACTCTGGAATCTGTTTGGCTGTGAAATGGTATAGAAATATTGTAAATGAATAAAGGAAATGAATAAAACTTTTACAGCCTCTGTCTTCAAGGGTGTTCAAATGTAATAACCTTTGACAAATCTTTAAACTGGGGGATTATTTTTCTCACATTGTCTAAATTAATACTGCAATTGGTTTACGTTAAGACAATGAAGTGATGAAAGTGTTAGCATTGGTATAAGATATTTGCTGCCCATTTCTGTATTGTTCAGAAAGTGGCAACAGTCACAAGTATCTGACTGTTGTTGTTCAGACATTTAAACAAGTGATGCAAGTCAATGACCAAATAATCCCTCTTGCACCAACAGGAAATCTTGGGTCATTTCCTAGAGAAATTTAAAGCAGTCTTTTTGTACATTTTTTTGGAAGTTAAAAAAAACCCTCAACAACTATCATATTGCTTATTATTAAAAAAAAAGTTTTAGAAAACATTCTAGGTGCAAAACAGGAAGAGTATTGGCAATGCAAACATGGGCAAAAACATGAATCAAGTAGAAAGGCTAGAGAGTAGCATGATGGCCAAATTTTGACTAGGAATGAAACAGATTAAAGGGCTGCTATTTAAGGAATTTAAGTGACCAATCTCACCCATCCTTCTGCAAAGGCCTAAAATCTGGTAGAGTTGTCCCTCTGCCAGTAGAGTAGAGCACTGTTGGCTTTGGCATGCTGTTGTGGAGGCCCTGTTCATTGATGTGGAGCAGAAAACTACAACTGCCAGTGTTCTTAATGGAGGTACCAAGCATAGGGCCCCAAAGGGAGGGGGATGGGTGGGTTCAAGTCAATTTGGTCCAGAAGTGGCTGCAGTTTTGCCATGTTACTAGTCCTCCCACAAATTCTATCTCTATGACCAATTAAAGCAGAAGTTAGGGGGGAAAATTGCCACATATTTTAAGAACTGGAAAGACACAATGACCCAGTAGTTGAAATGCCTTCTGTGTAAGAAAGAGCTAAAAACAAGCAACCCCTTGTATTTGTTCTGTTAGA